GGGTGTCAGGGGTACAGACCCAAATCTGACTCCCACATGGGTTCAGGATGAACACATTTTTATACCCTTATCATTATATAATTACATATTCATTATTAAACTTATATTGTTCTATTGTGTGCATTGATCTCATCCAAGTGTGGATCCTGTAATCTCCATCAAACCCCCCAAACATCATTTCACATGATTCTTGTTACAATTAAACAGTAATCATATCCAATTACCAAACAATCATCACATTTAACAATCGTATCATTTATCATAGTCATTAAATGATTATACAAGTGCAGTTCTGCATGATCCGGTAAAGCTCAACACCACCTGGTGTTGGGCAGCTGCCAGGAGATTCTTCTATCCAAATCCATGGGAAAAATAGGAGTTACTCACCCTGTGGCCCCCTGTGCTGCTTCCTCAGGAGAAGTGTGCCCAGTACTGGCCGTCCGACGGCTCCGTGTCCTACGGGGACATCACGGTGGAGCTGAAGAAGGAGGAGGAGTGTGAGAGCTACACAGTGAGAGACCTGCTGGTGACCAACACCAGGGTAAGAGCCAGCCTGCTCCTCCTGGGGACCTCTGCCTGCTCCTGGCTGTGGCAGTCATGTTTTCTAGCAGAATCCCTTCGCCAGGATTTCTCTCCTGGGAAGCTGAGAAGCCTCAGAGAAAAAGGAAATCAGTATTATCTCATTTGCTTCTCTTGTGTTTTGCTGCTTTGGAATGTGGTTGGAGATTGTTTATCCAACAGGTGGTTGTTTCATTGGTTTCATCTGAATTGTTTTGACTTATTGGCCAGTTGGGGCCAAGTTGTGTTGGACTCTGAAGAGAGAGTCACAAAATTCATCAGTATCTTTCTAGTCTTCTGTCTGTCTCCTTTCTGTATTCTTTAGTATGGTTTTGTTTAGTATTCTTTATATAATATAGTACAATAAAATAATTAATTAGCCTTCTAAAAACATGAAGTCAGATACATCATTCCTTCCTTCATCTGGGAACCCCACAAATACAATACCTGGGTTTCACTGTCGTGAGCCCCTGCTGGTGTTCCACCAGCTCCTCATTGTCCCAAAGGGATTTCATCCCTGTATCCCTGCCTCCCACCCCGAGAGTCCCTGTCCTGCTGCTCATTCCTGCTGCCCTCACCACCAAGCCTCCCTCCTGCTTCCCATTCCCCACATTTCCCCTACTCCTTGCCCTGGGAATGCCACTCCTCCACAAGCAGCTTTCCTACAGGGATTGTTATCCCAAAGCCCTGAGCCCCTGGGTTCCTGGGGTATTTGTGGGGTCCCCCAACAAAGGTGAAGAAAGTGATGAATCTGACTCCATGTTCTTAGAAGGCTAATTTATTATTTTATTATACTGTATAATATAAAGAATGCTATACTAAAACTATACTGAAGAATACAGAAAGGATACTTACAGAAAGCTAAGAGATAATAAAGATAACCCATGACTCTCTTCTAGAGTTTCAACACAGTTTGTCTGTGATTGGCCAATAAATAAAAGCAATTCACATGTTGGATAAACAATCTCCAAACCACATTCCAAAGCAGCAAAACACAGGAGAAGCAGATGAGAAAATATTGTTTTCCTTTTTCTCTGAGGCTTCTCAGCTTCCCAGGAGAGAAATCCTGGAGAAGGGATTTTTCCAGAAAACATGACAGTGACAGGTTCTTGGTACAGATCCCTGACCTCGAGCTGTGCCCTCCCCACAGGAGAACAAGAGCCGACAGATCCGGCAGTTTCACTTCCACGGCTGGCCAGAGGTTGGGATCCCCGGGGATGGGAAGGGGATGATCAACATCATTGCAGCGGTGCAGAAGCAGCAGCAGCAGTCTGGCAACCACCCCATCACTGTGCACTGCAGGTAAAGCCTGGCTGGAGCAGCTGGGCCACCCCTCCGAGGGGATCTGCTCCACCAGGAGCTTTGGTCAGAATCCTGAATTGTGTCCTGGATAAACTGGGAGAGTCTGGGGCAGGGCTGGCTCCTCCAGTTCTCCAGAGCTTTCCATTGTCCTCTGGGGGTTTGGAACCCCTCAGGGGTTTTCCCTCAGGCTCTGGTTTCTCTTTCCCAGTGCTGGAGCAGGAAGAACGGGCACCTTCTGTGCGCTGAGCACTGTCCTGGAGAGGGTGAAGGCAGAGGCCATCCTCGATGTCTTTCAGACAGTCAAGAGCTTGAGACTACAGAGGCCACACATGGTGCAGACACTGGTAGGTGCCTCCTGCCCCGCCAGAACCTCAGCAAGGATGGGCTGGGGGCTCAGTGTTGAGCAAAAACCTCTTTGGTTCAAGGTTTCTGCTCTCCATGAAAGAGGGAGAGAGGGAAGATGTGGGTTCATCATCCCTGGCAGTGCCCAAGGCCAGGCTGGATGGGGCTTGGAGCAGCCTGGGACAGTGGAAGGTGTCCCTGCCTGTGGCAGGAGTTGGAGCAAGGTCATCTTTAAGGTTCCTTCCAGCCCAAACATTCTGGGATCCGTGATTCTGTGAAGGTGGGCCAGGAGCTCTCTCCCCTTCCTCTTGTTAAGGCATCAAATGCCTTTTAAGCACTGACAGAAGTTGTAGGAACCTCCTTGGAGACGTCCTCAACCACAGTCCATACATTAATGAGCTGAAACTCCTGGAAGGGTGTCCTGGAGTGGCTGTGGAACCCTGCACAGTGCTAGGGTTGGGGATGGGTGAGGTCTTGCAAGGGTTTTAGAAGAAAAATCATCTTTTGGAATCCAAACAGAACCTCAGAGCAGGAAGGGGAAAGCAGAGTTTGTTTTGCCATGAGCACCCCAGCAAGGGTTTGGGGGTCACAAGGGGGGGGGAACCTGCTCTGGACACCTGACCAAGCCTCAGGTGCTGTCTCAGGTGTGGGTTTTCCTGTCTGAGCCTGTTCTCTCCCAAACCCCACAGGAACAGTACGAATTCTGCTACAAGGTGGTGCAGGAATACATCGACGCCTTCTCAGACTACGCCAACTTCAAGTGAAGAAAAACAGGAACAAAAATCCACACCCACCCTCCCCGAAACAAATGACAGAAGAGTTGCCTTCTTTAATATTTTGTAATATTCTGTTTGTTAATATACCCCCCCCCCCCAAAAAAAAAAAAAAAAAAAAAAACAAACCTATGTGTATATATCTTAACTGTTTTAGAGGTTGGTACCATAAGCTTCATATTAGCTGGAGATTTTATATGTAGCAAAGTGTTAGTGCAGATACTGTTGGCTCCTTTTTTTCCAATGTTTTATTGGGGAATTAAATAGCGTGATGTTTGGATTAATATTGTCATACCATCTCTCTTCTGGAGAGTTGATACAGGCTGTTATTTTGTTTGTAAATCTCTTTTTTTTTTTTTTTTTTTGAGGGGGAAAAGCCTTTTTTTTAAAAAAAAAAAAAAAAAAAAAAGGAAAGAAAGATATCCTGGATCTCATCTGAAACAAAACCCAAACCCCTCCCACCACAACCCCACCAGCACAAGCTTTTCCAAACCTGCAGGGAAATGGTTTCACATTTTTCTGCTGGTCAGCTCTTAAAAAAAAAAAAGGAGAAAAAAAAAAAAAAAAGCTCATTCTGTGTGTGTGTTTATATATAAATACCCTCATTTTTATACCAAAAGCTAAAAACTTTCCTCCCTCAGGGTCAGGCCACCATGTACTGCTGGTTTGGAAACTGTAATTGCCACACAGCAGCACCCAAATGTTGGGATTTCCACCCCAAAAAAAGGAAACCCCAGAAAAACAAAAGGATTTTTGCTGCCTGAAGGGAAGGTCTGTGTGTCTGGAGCTGGATTTCAGAGCAGGGGTTGGGGCTGAGGGTGACACAGTGGCCCTGCCACCCCTGCTGCTGCTCTTTGCACCAGGTGAGCTCCAGCCCCAGCTGCTGGAGGAGATTTCAGATTATTTTTCCTGGCATCCTGAAAGATCACAGGGAATGGTTTGGGGTGGAAGGGATCTCATAAAATATCCAATCTCACCCCCTTCCCATGGCATGGACACTTCCCACTATCTCAGATTTCTCCAAGCCTCATCCAGCCTGGCCTTGGACACTTCCAGGGATCCAGGGGCAGCCACCTGTGCCAGGGCCTCCCCACCCTCCCAGGGCAGGATTTTTCCCAAATTCCCACTCCAGGCCTGCTCTCCTTCAAGAAGAATCCAAAAAGTCAAGAAATATCCTGAGGACCAGGGGTGCAGCACTTGTATATTAGAAAAAAAAACAGGTTAATGTGGTTGATTTTATTATTTTCTTTCTTATGAAGCAGTGCCAGAGGAAACACCTTCCTTGTTCCTCCTGCAGTCAGGGGCACCATGCCCAGGTTAATGGGGGAGCTCCATCCCCTCTGCAGGCACTGGGAGAACTGGTTTGGAGCAGAGGTTCACCCCAAGGATTTCTCTGGACACCCCAAACAGTGATGGGCAGCACAGGGTGGGTGGCAGGGCCCAGGAATATTGACAGGGATGTCCTAAGCTCAGGATATGGGCTTGAAATCTAGGAAATTCTGGGTAAAAACAGTCCATGGGTCAGAGTATCTAAGTTTTTTCAGTTTTTTCCATCCAGGCAGGATTCACAGGGGGATTTAGTGGAGGCACACAGGCAAGGGGGGCACCCTCAGCCACCCACAACACCCCAAAAGTTGCTTTGCTGCTGCCATCATCCCCTCATCCCCTCTGGATCTGCATCCCAAACCCACCCCAAAGTGATGCTGGGTCATCCCCTCTGCATCTCCATCCCAAACCCATCCCAGCACCACCCATGGGTGCTTAATCCCTCTGGATCTCCATCCCAAACCCATCCCAGCCTGCCCACGGGTGCTCATCCCCTCTGGATCTGCATCCCAAACCCACCCAGGGGTGCTCATCCCCTCCGTATCTCCATCCCCCCACTCAACCCCTGAGCTTCTACTGAACCCAACCCACCCCAGGCAGCACCCACGGGTGCTCAACCCTCCCGCAGCCCCCCCGGGGGTGTCCCCGGAGCGGATGCCGGTGGGACAGGGCCACCCGTGTCCCCGCAGCCCCCCGGCCATGGCACCCCGCGGGTCGCTGCTGCTGCTGGCGCTGCTGCTGCTGAGCTGCGCCCTGCCCCGCGGCCGCGGCCAGCACTGGTCCCACGGCTGGTACCCGGGGGGCAAGCGGGACCTCCGGGCCCCCAGCGACCCCCAGGTAGGCTGTCCCCCGCGGGTCACCCCCTCCGGGTCATTCCCTTCCCTCCCGGGGTGATGCCCGCCCCGGCTGTGTCCCCCTGCCCAGGGTTTGTGTCCCCCCGTCTCCCTGCTCCTCTCCTCTGGATTATCCCCGCCCGAGTTACACCGCCTCAAATGATCCTCCCTGGATACATCCCCTCGTAATTATGTCCCCATCCCGCGATTATCCCCCCGCCGAGTTCTTGGATTTATCCCCGCCTCAGGTTAAACCCCACTCCGGGTTTATCACCCCCACGGGCTATAAACCCTCCCAAGTTATCCCCCTCCCTGAATTATCTGGGTTTATCACCCCCCAGTTTTACCCCCTCCCTGAATTATCCTGATTTATCACCCCCACGGGTTAAACCCCCCTCAGTTTATCCCCCTCTCTGAATTATCAGGATTTATCCCCTCAAGAGGTAACATTCCCCCAGGTTATCCCCCCTCCTTAAATTATCCGGGTTTATCACCCCCAAGTGCTATAACCCCCCCAGTTTTTCCCCCCTCCCTGAATTATCCGGGTTTATCACCCCCCAGTTTTTCCCCCTCCCTGAATTATCAGGATTTATCCCCCCCCGGGTTATAACCCCCCA